TGCTTTAATCAAGAAAAAAAAAAAGACTTATTCATCAATGGTAGAAAATTTTACTTGTCATGTCAAATAGACTCAAATCAAGGTGAATGTTGTTAGTTTGAGTAATTTGAATATACCTAGATTTTTGCAGCGCAAGGTTTACAGCACACACACATGCACACACTAACATACACACAGAGACACACACTCACTCTAATGTCTAATAAATGATGTGTCCATTGGCCAGCTGTTGGGCTTTCAAATGTAACCCAGCCAGGTCTCACCCAAGGAAAACCGATTACTACAATGAGCGCCGCGTGGTTGCCAGTTAATAATATGACTCTTAAACTCATTGCGCTGCCCTCCCTGCTGCTCCTCTTTCCTTCCTGCTGTCTCCATCCTTCCATCCATCCCTCCATCCTTGGTCTCCCTTTTTCCTAACTCCAACCTGTCCACTCCAGTCTGGCACAGGTTTGACTGACAGTGGAACAAGGGACTGACTTGTTACTGGGGTTGAGCGAAAACTTTTATAGCTTTTGGCCCTGTTAGAAAGAGAGAAAAAAAGATTTGGCAACGAGTTTAACTGTTCGACTGGGAGCAAGAGGGGGTCTATTAAGGCCGACACTTACAGGTGAACACGAAATAAAATAAAGTAAAGTGTTTATCAATCAATTAGAAGTTGTGTTTTAGTTTAATCTGAATTATTATAGCTGTGTTCTGCTTTTTAAAGGTGCACTATGCAACTTTTCTAGTGGAGGATCTGTCATCTGCTTGTCTCCATGGAGATGTTCTTGCTTAATCTGGAATGTTTAAACATATTCAACTAGGATTTATTCATTATGGGTGTTTCGACTGCTCAAAAATACACAAATTTCTTCTATGAATAGGGGCAACTCTCCACAGATCTGAAATGTAATGTGAACATTATAGACAAAGCAATAACATTTCCATGGAGACAAGCAGGTGGTGGAACCTCTACTAGAAATGTTACGTACTACACCTTTAAGTGTCTACTTTTAAAACCTGATTAATAAAAACTACTGACTATATTGATGACACAAATTTTTAATGAAGCATATATATTTTGTACTAAAAGTTTATATCTCATATATAAAAAGATAAAAAAAAACAACAACTAATAAATAATAATAAAAAAGAAATTTGACCTCATTGCACAAGGGCCACACTAAGAAGGCTATAAAGTGGTCCAAGAAACAGTAGTGAAATGGTAACAAACAAGGAAATATGCTTTCTCAATGGGGTCCTGCTAACAGTTCAGCTTTGTGCATCTTTGTACAACTTTTTTTAATCACTGTTGATTTTGAAATATAAACCACAAATTTAATCACAAGCTCAATGACCCAAACATTTTCCACCCTCGTATTTACTCGATAATTGTGTGTGTATAGTCAGTAGTTCAGCATCTATGACATTGTTTGAAATGGATTTGTCAACAGAAATTTGCAAAAACTTGGTAAAAACATTATTTCGTCTCCAGATTGTGTTGACACAAACACTGGACAGAATCGCCACATCTTTACAAGAATGACACGAAAGCTTTTATACCTTTTGGTGCAAGTTGCTGCCACTGTGCCCGCTGCCCTGATAAAAAAAAAAAAAAAAAAACATTTGGCGAACCACTCTCTGGCTGTTAGCTGGGAGCAGAAGAGCTCTATTAAGGCTGGCACTTAGCAGGGAAGGGAGGTGAGAGCTGTGAGAAAACAGTGCATAAACTGTTAACTCCCTGCTAGTTCTTCATTAGAGGAAAATATGGATTGCCGAAGTCTGTTACTAAACTCTCGAAAGAGCAAGCAATACATTCAGGTTAAGTTTCGTTCTCTTTTTAAACTAATCAACTATGTCTAATGATTGTGTGCATGGTGCTGAAGGATCAATCTTGTTTTGTTTACACCTATAATTAGATCTTTTACATAACCGCTAATATAACAAATGCCCTTAACAAGATTACAAGATTGACTTTCATTGTTGTTCCCTCCGCCATGTTGTCCATTCAGCAGAGGACACCTGTCAAAGTTTAAGATAACTCAAATAAATTAAAAGAGACAGGTAGTAAATGTGAAAGTAAGTGCTCAAATAAAAACCTGAGCCCCTGTTGTTTAGGCTTTAATCTATTGTCAAAAATCAATTTTTACGGCAGGCTTTATGGGACTGAATAGTGGATGTGATAAAGTTTACAATGCTGAGGACAGACAGTGGCTGGGTGCAGAGAGGTGACCCCAATCATTTTCGGGGCCCTGTTGATATGGCGTCTTCAGATGGGTTATATTTTCTCCTGCTTCATAGCTCTCTTAAGTCATATACCAAAGTGACAATACTGCCTGCCCTTCAGAATAGGACATTTCACACCAGCTTTGTGATTTCTTATTACTTTACACAATGGTGACTTTTCGTGCTACAGCTATAAAGGTTACACATACAAAATTAAATCATGGTGAAATATGAACTCTCAGAAGTAGCAAGTATCCAAGGAAAAATATAGACACCGTCACTCACTCGGCGTGTGATGTAGGCTGACCAATCGGAAGAATGAGTTGCATTTAACAGAGAAGCACTTAATGTTAAAGACAATGTGTTGACGACCTCACTAAAACAAGAATCAGATCACTATTCGATCTTGGCACCATGCTGCCCAACCCACACGCACATACTGTTACTGCATTTGAGATATAGCCTTATTCAAATAGTTTAAGTATTGACAACCAAACAGACAAAACTGGGTGTATTCTGGCTGTTTATATCTATATCTGGTAAAATTTTATTGGGAAAAGGCCAAGATGTTACTCATGTGAGCTGTATTTTAGGCTAGAGGCATTTCCACCCACTTATTATTTTTAGCATCTGGACATCATGCCCACAGTGCTTTACACTATACCAAGAATACATTTATGTAACGTTTCATTGATTTTACAAGTAAATTTGTTCGAAAGTGACTGTATTTTGAAAGCTTTGTTATAGATGGCGGCATACTAATTTATTTTTTAATTTGTTATATTGGGCACTGTGAGTTATGGGCAAGTGTCTTGGCAGAGATATTTGTTCTTCAAGTCTATGTAATTTATAATATAGATTCTACATTCATATTTTATAATATCCCACTTAACACTATTTTACATATACTGAGTATTTTATGAAGCCTATTTTGGTATAAATCAGTAACATATTTTAGCATATTTAACAGTACAGCTCAAAGCATATATTTTCCATAGCCCTATGTACGCTCCATTCAAGACATGTCTGACTAACAATGTTTCTCTATAGAGTGTAAACGTTATGAAATGTGGTATAGACTTGCCCAAAGCCTAATTGAACATGTCAGGCTAGTGTCAGTGTGTCAGTGTTGCTCTGCTCATTAAAAAATCCAGTTTTGCTCCAGATGTGCTCGAGTGGGCAGGCGGCGCTGAGTGGCACCGGAGTCAGTCAGCTGTGCTCCTGGATCAGCTGTTTAGACACGAGAAACGCACAAACTACTGAAGCAGACTTGGAAAATAGCTGTGAGCTGAGCCACGCATGGGTGCCACAGAGGAGAGAAGAACAGAGCCATGGCCACTGGCAGACTAGCACCAAGTGTCAAAACGCTCTGGTTTGATTGTATTTGATTGGTGCTCCAAACGTTATCTGAGTCATAATCACTGCACAGATCATCACACACAAATGTGTCATTAAAAGTGATGGCACTTTGAGGCGAGGATTCATATTAAAACTTGGTGCTATTGTTTATGACGACAGGATGTTCTTGTCTCCAAGGAGAGACGTTTTCCATCAAACCACCTCAATTATATTAAACTTTGATGAAACTTACTTCAATAGCTCACTTTCTCTCCTCAGTACTTATGAATGAAGGCTGCTTCAAGGAATATATCCTCCAGATACAGCCTCATTGTAGCTCATCTTTTGAAATGCAAATGATGGTGCCTTGATTAAAACTTTGATACCAAACAATGTTATGAAACCCTTTGAGCACTACTGTGCCTTTAACCACCTAATGAGATTATCTTGTGGAAAATGTGAGAATTTTGGATAAAGACGAAAGCCAAATCCAATTACTAATGCACACCTTGCTGCAAATAAAGAAGGCAAATGGCAGAATGTTGTATTTCAACAAACAGTGCTAAATTATGAAAGTCGTTCTCAGACAGATGGACCTTTACTCATGAGAGCAGCCCGCTTTAAGACAACTCACTGTGCATATTCGAACACCAAATCACTGCATGAAGTGAGCATGCAAGCACACACTGACGCAGATGGTTCTACCCCTCCTGGGATGTTTAATTTCTCTTAATCATTTTAACAGACAAGGGCTGTGTTGAATGAGACTGGGCCAACAAAGACATAGGAGGCAATCATTGACTGCCGATGCACAAGTTAATTAGTAATTCCATCACTTGAGATTTGTGTTTGATTAAAGTATTCCCTTCCACTCTCTAAACTTCCAAATGAATGTGTAATACTATAGTTCAATACCACAGTCACACAGTCTGCACCTCACTATCCTGCCCCAGCGCCTCTAAATGAGAGCTGCTTCCCTGAGCCCCGAGCACCCTGACACATCAGATCAGTCTGAACATCACTCAGAGCGCCTCTCGATCCGTCAAGTTGGCAAAAACATATGATTTATCCCAACCAACCCCAGTGCAATTTCTTTCCCTTTTAGAGCCATTCACAACCTTCTTTGTTATTCACAGTATAACTATGACATCAACGTACAGCCTCAGTAGACATTGCACACAGAACTGCATTTTCATAGTATATCATTTTACCCATGATGAAAATACATGCAAGAATAAACTATCAATTATATTTTTATGGATAACTTTCAATAACACTCAAACAGCACTAACTTATCAACATGTGTCACATACTCCCCAGCCTCTGGCATTGCTCATACATCTTTTTTTCCCATCATTTTACTATTACAAGAAAGACTACTAACTTACTGCTACTAACTTGTACATTTCTTTTTTTTTGATACTTCAGATAAATAGACAGAAATTAATACATACGCTGACGATTCTTTCAGAGGTGCCACCCCTGGAGATGCTGGTACCATTAAGTCCCACGAGAGAAGGCAGCGTCTGGGACATCCAGTTGGTGACCATGGCCATAGTACTGAGCACCGCCCCGATCTTCAGCATGGGGACACTCATGTTGTCAGCCTCCTTTTGGGCTCCCCCGTGCCCTACCCTGCCCTACCTTACACCGGACCCCACTATCGCCCCTGTAATTCCTATAGGCACAGTGAAGCAGCCAGCCAGACCAGCGTGGTAGCTTTCAATGCACCGTGACTGAGCTCATCCACCAAAGGGACAGCTGGAGACCGGTGAGGGGAGAAATGCTCACATCCAGAGGCACCGCGACTGTCTCCCCCCCTTACCTACCCCTCCCTCTCGCTCATCCCCAGTCCCCCCCCGCGCGTTTCTTTCTCTCTCTCTTTCTCTCTCTCCCATCAGCTTCCTCAAGATGCAGGGCTGCGCATTGGCTGCCTCTTCCCCTCCCAATCAGCCTCGGCTCTGTTCTCGCCAGCGCTTTTTTCCCCTGTATCAATCCTTGGCTCTTATTTTCTTTGACATTTCCTTGTTTTTCTCTGACTCATATGGCGGTGTGTCAGGGCTATAACATCATACATGTGCACAAAGATCAAGGGTAGCATGAGCTCATAAGGCTACATAGAATGACATATAGCCTCTAAACTGTTGTAGACTGAAAGTATCTACAGAGATAAAGTGCTGGCCAGGGGCATTGCGGGAGTTGTGGTCAAATAAGGAACCGTATAAATCAAATGGATGTGAGGGGGGTCTTGACAGTTAATCCTTTATTTTGTTTATAATGCATTACTAGCTACTTCTGCTTGGAGCTGTTTTCTAATTTTAGTTACTTTCAGTGTCTTTTTAAGATATGTCGCTCGCTAATACATAATAGAGATTCATATTTTAGAATCTATGTTCTAAGTTTGGAACAAGTTTTGAATAGTTGGACAAAACTGCCTACTATGGCTTTATTGTAGGGTATACTTTACATTGAAATGCATACATAAACATATTTACTCAACTCTTTAAAATCAGTCATACTTTTTTCACTTTTGTCCTTGCAACAACTTTGGGCAATGTGCTACTGTGTCATTAAACAGCCGAACAGCCATGCATTATAATGACAGAGTAGCTGCCGAGACAAAATGCCCAGGTCATCTCTCCCTCACTCTCTCTGTGCCTCCAGGTCTGCTGACTTATTCGTTTTGTCAGTGGTGGATGGTGCGCCTGCCCTGGCTGCCACACTGGCTGACTGATAGGGGCTCCTCGGTGTGGGGCGTATGCTGAACTCTTATGAGAAGAGACAGCTTTCTGTGCCCCATCCAGAATCTGTCAGCCCTCCTCAGTTCACCTGTTGGCTTCAACGTCACCCACAGGTCTGTCAGGCTCATTGAGAACAATTCATGAGTGCATACTGCTCCCTTGTGGTTAAGCGAAGAATTGCATCTACCTCTGTATGGCTAAAAAATCTGTTGCTGCAGACATGACTTCTGGACTTGAAGGAACAAGTGACCAAGTAAAAACATAAGACGATCACTCTTATGTTAAAGGTGCACTATGGAACTTTTGTGGTAGAGGATCCGCCACTTGTTTGACTCCATGTAGTTAATTGTTTTTTTTCCAGGATTTCTATCGTGTGGCATTTATGTTAACCATGGAGATAAGCAGGCCACGTCACCAGGCAAAGTTACAGGCCCCTCTATGGAGAAGTGGATCTGCTCACAGTAACAATACATTTCTTTTACATACATGGTAGTTTTGAGAAATAAAAACATCTGGAAATTAATAAATACATCATATATTTGTTTAACGCTATGCTGTAGAACATTCCAAAGCAATAAAATTACCTCTCCACCAGAAAAGTTATAAAGTGCACCTTTAAATATATTATTTTTGCTAACTAAAACTAAAAGGATTTACATTTTTAGCACATAGGTGATTATTAGGCTATGTTTTATAGCAAAAAACAAACAAAAATCAGGTAGTATGTATGAATTCACCAAAGTATAATGGTGCACAACAATAAATGCTCTTTGTCACAATCAAATGACATGAAAGTTTGAAGTGTCCAGTTAATGCAATAACGCCTTTGTCCACATGGGAGCAGCAAAGGCCTATAACTGCCCTCAATATACGTTGCTGAAATCTGGCGTCAGACTAAGTAGATTAAAGTGACAGTCCATTAAAATGCTGCTAATTAAAGCAATTAATTATTGATTGAGGAGACCAACCTTCCTGTGTACAGTCTGACTGTGGCCATGCACTGTGATAAATGATTAATACTGCTGGGAATTTCAACCTGTTGTTTCAAGAGTTCAAATCAACCGCTGCACCCAACCTTTTGTATCCCTGTCAGCAGAATATGCCTCTAACAGCTCATCGAAACATCTCAGCAACTATATGGGCCTTAGATGTTTTTTTTTTTTTTTTTTACTGGCCACAATAAATAGACTTGTCACGATAATTACTATATTGACTTATCGTTCAATATATAAAAGCAAGAACAATTTTGGGGTTAATATTTATCATTTTGTACAACTGGGAACTGCTTTGTCTTTTGCTTTTTTAAGATTTAATCTGTAAAAGGTTGAATTAATAACTTCTATGACTCATTACAAATGCAAATTACGTACTAAACTGTTTCATTCTGCTGTTTATTTATTGCACCTCATGATTTTTTAACAGTGTAATAGATTTAGAATTGTTTTTGTGGTTTAAATCTGCTCTTGGGTTTTTGTGTCAGTGACATAAATTAATTTCAGTATTATCGTTTATCATCTATAATGACGAGAGAACCTAGTGACAATAATAGCCTGAAACAATAATTATGAGCACTATAATTTCTCACATTTACAACAATTCAGAGTCAAAATTGATTTCTCCAAACTTGCCAATTTTTCTATCAACCTTTTGTGCTTCCTAATCAGCCTACATTGTGTACTTCTTAGCAGCCACAGTTACAGTAATGTGTACAATATGTGGTCAGGTCAAATGGCAGGCTTTGTGAAGAGCTGTCTATAGGAACAATGTGTATAATTGTCATGCTGAGGACAATGCAAAGTACTATATATGCCAGTGTGGTGGTGTGTGTCAGTCCACTGTCTAATCACAGTGTGCTGGCAGACCAAGCTCTCATTAAATATCAGCTAGAGACCATTTAACCTGTATTCATTTAATGCCTTTTGATTAATTTTCACAGCATTTCCTTGTCAGTTCCATTTTAATAATTGGCCAGCCTCATTTTGTCTGCGTCCGCTTTATCATTATCATCCATTCTCTCACTCACTTTTGTCCTCTCATTCTCTGGCTTTTATTTAGCCCTGCTCCCTGTCTCTGTCTCTTCTGGCTTGCTGCTGGCAATGGGTGAAAATATCATGTCATGGGTTTCTATTTTACCCTGTGTGTGTCCTTTGCAACGCTGTTTCTGTCTCATGCTTTGTTACTGCTCTCATCTTCCCTCTTATATGTCTGTTAGCTTCAGTTTACAAGTAGTTTGCTATACAGACATGCTGTGCTGTATTTTTGCACATCTTTTGTCATTTTCAACTAAAGCTTTATGAACAACAAAATCTCTTCTTCTCTCCTCTCTGCCTGTGGGTATGCTCTATAAAGGGCACTTTTAATCAGTTCAAATGGGGAAAATGCCCAACAACTGCAGAGCCGGCAACATTTGTGCACACCCATGGATGGCACTAGAGCTCCACTCAGCCCTCAGGCCATAAGGACAAGTTATGACTGAGAAAGTCTCACTGGGAGGCTAGCAAGGTAGTCAAAGAAATGCTATATGATGGGTCAAGAGCTTCTGGACATATAAGGAAGGTGTTTATCTAATCTAAATCTTTTTTTTTTTTTTTTTTTTTCATGTGCTTACATTTGGGTAGGACAAAAAATAGTGCCGGTGAGTTACATCTTTTGAGATTGATGAAGTGCAGTTCCAAAAAGCAGTGCTACAATGACATCTTGGACTGGAACTGTATTGCACATTTTATTTTTTCAGTCATAATCTTGTCTTGTCTCCCTCTTGGGGGCCATATCTTGTGTCAAGTCTCATCTTGGTAATTGTGTCTAATCCTACCCCTAGTAGTTATGATGTCCAGTATAGTGTGTCTGTTGCAGTATTTTTATTAGTTCATAAATTGATTGACTATTTATATTACATTATTTCCTACCTTGTGACGTAATTATTTATAAACATTTTAGCTTTAATTTTGGCTTAGATGAATTAGCAATGGCAATTAGCAATATACTTAGGTTTCAGCTTCCTGTTACATACAACATAGGAAGGTCTTTTTCACATGCAAAAGATATAATATTTGTTTTTAATTGTTAATCACTATGGCATAATTCTGAACCCCATGAACTGAAGCTATTGTGCAGCCATACTGTGAAAAACACATGAAGCACACATGCACACATATTACAATAGACTACACTATGAATCCTAGTTGAGTTCTGCTTTTTTCCAGTTGAGATGCAGAACCAAATGACACCTCTTGTAATTATCCCGGTTGTAGAAATGCAGCGCTGTGTGGCTGCGGTGGTGGTGCTGCATTTAAAACCCTGGCTGCTCTCGTCTGTCTCTGAGAATTCTGGCCATTTTGTCTGAGTCATAACTCATTAATTAGATGATGGACACGTCCGCCTGCCGCCTTCAAAAAGCATCAGGATCAACATTAGTGTAAACAAACCGTAACCTCATTACCATGGCAACCCTGTACATGGTGTAAATAGGCTGTACCCCTGGGTTTAGGCTGCGGATAGTGTGGTGATGTTTTGACATAGTGTTAGATCTATTAAGACTCCTGGGGGATTATGAATTATTAGATTTTATAACAGGCAGATGCACCTACTGTACAGTCAACACATGTATGGGGTGACCTCTGCATGCTAATCTGGAGTACTCATTCTATCAGTGTTAATAAATTCACTGTTTTCAATTACACTCACTGCAGAGTACGCCTGTACAGAAATGATGACATTGCATTTGGACTTTAACCTGATTTTACTCTGTCAAGATGCTCCTGATCTCTGAGGCTGACTGCTACATGATACAATTTAAAAAAATCCAATCTCTTGCTTATACGTTGGGTTCAAAAATGTCATAGCCATTTTTTAACAAT